CCTGAATTGTACCATCACAATCTCATTTTCAACTCTTTGCATTTTATTGTCAACATCAGCAATTTTATAATCATTGTCTTTCATCTTAACATTAACTTCTGATTTAAGTTCTTCAACTTTAGAATCAACTTTCACAATAAATTCTGCCAGGCCAGACGCCACTTCTGATATTTTTTTGGTCACCTTGTTTTGATTCTGTTTCACCATATCTTTAACTTCATTAATTTCCTGCATAAATTCCTGGTGTGATTTTTGAAGTTTATCATCTATCTCCTGTTGAGATTTTTGAAATTTATCATCCAAAGTTTTAGAAATAAATTCTTTTAAATCTCCCACATCAAAATCTTTTTTCTGAGTCTGTATCTGTTGTACTGGGGGAGGCTGTGCTTTATGTGTGGGAGATCCACCTCCTGTTGCCTTCGCTTCCTGCTTCTTTGAGGCCATCCTGCCACATAGGCTGGTTTTACTAAAAAGGGAAGTTCTTCTTCCTCTCCCACCTCCACAAAGACTTCTGAAAAAGTCCCCCAGATTTAATCAAATAAAAACCAAAGTAAAGCAAAGTCCAGTATTGAAAAAGGAGAAATTTCTCTCTTATTTCTCTTGTTGCAAGCGAAGCAACTTCGTAGCAGTTTAGAAACTTTGTAACAAAGCAAGATGAGTTCAGCAATCCACACTCGCCAGCTCGTTAACTCTAAGGCTAAGTGCCATGTTTTTGCAGTTCACTTTCACTCATCCACATTTTTTCACTCAAATTAGAAAGCCAAGAAAACTCTAATACTTGCGATTCCGAGTTTCAGGGTTCAAGTAACAGTATGCTGCTTATTAAGGCTGGTTCCTTTTCTTTCAGTTTAAAGTTTCCTGTAGCCGGCTTGTTCTGCAGAAGCAGACTTGTCCCACGCCGCCCGGAGTTCCAGCAGGTTGAATGGGAGCCGCTCCTGTTCCCTCCCCAGAAACTATTCCCTGGGGGGGGTTGCAGGGGCTCAACCTGTGCCCTGCGATCTCTCTTCAAAAATCCTAGAGATTTTTGAAGTTTTCGAGCCGCTTCTTAATCGCGAAGCGGCTCTACAAGCGGCGGGGCTGGCGGAGCTTCAAAAGGCACCGCCGCAGCCGAAGACGAGGAAACCGGAAGTGATAATTTTCAAGTTTTCTAACAAAGATTTTTGTATATGTTTTATAAAGGTCTACTAAGAATATTTGATTCATTTTTCCTTTTCTTGGCATATTGTATTTCTATTATACATACATCCAGAAATTGACTTCTTAGATAGAATGGCCATATGGTAGCACATGGTATTGTGGTATATACTGTAGCTGGCTCCTGCAGAACTTTTCAATATTTATTTTGTTGGATAATTAAACTGCTAAGTAAGGCTCAGCATTCATAACAACATACATTTTTCAAAGGCTTGAAACCAAGCTTGCACAAAGAATCCATTTATTTCTTATGCAATATCAAGACTTAAAGCAAAATATCGTGTTAGGGGAGGGCGCACTCGCTGTCTGCAGGCGATTGCGTGCTCCGGCCCTCAATGCTCGTCTTGCACCCTGGGTTGTTCAGACCCTCAGGCCCGGGGCCTTCGGTTGATGTTGTGCAATGCCAGGTCCGTGGTAAATAAAGCCCCCCTCATTTGTGATCTGGTTCAGGAGGGGGGTGCGGACCTGGTAGGTATTACGGAGACCTGGTTGGGCCAGGAGGGGGGTGTCCCCCTCGTTGAGATGTGCCCTCCAGGCTTTACGCATTTCATCAGCCGAGGTCCCAGGGGAGGGGTGGGGGAGTGGCAGTTCTGGTAAAGGAAGGTATCACCCCAAGGGAGGTCACTGTACCTCAGATAGCCAGATGTGAGTCCCTCCTTGTGAAGTGGGGACAAGGGAGGCAGATGGGCTTGCTGATTATGTACCTGGCTCCCTGCCATGTGTCGGCGGCCCTGCCCGAGCTCCTCAACGTGATTGCCGAAGTGGTGGAGGAGACCGCCAGGCTTATGGTCATGCGGGACTTTAACTTGCCGTCTGTCGGCGAAGCATCTGAGGCGGCTCGGGAGTTCATGGCTTCCATGACGGCCATGAACCTGACCCAATTAATTCATGGACCCACGCACACGGGAGGACACACTCTGGACTTGATTTTTGTCTCTGGACAGTGGATGAATGATCTTGAGATAGGGGAGTTAGTGACTGAGCCCTTGTCATGGTCGGATCATTCCCTTCTTAGGCTTGACTTTCTAACCGCCACACCCCACCGCAGGGAGGCGGAACAGACCAGATGGTTCCGCCCCAGGCGCCTGATGGATCCTGATAGGTTCCAGATGGAGCTTGGGCCATTTCCTGAGGCTCTGACTCATGGCTCAGCTGAGGAGTTGGTGGCCGCCTGGGATAGGGCGGCTGCTGACGCTTTGGACCGAGTCGTGCCTGTGCGGCCTCTGACCTGTCGCCGAGTCTACCTGGCTCCTTGGTTCTCCGAGGAGCTGAGGGAGATGAAGCGCCAGAAAAGACGCCTAGAGAGCAGTTGCAGATCTAGTCGCTCCGAACCCAACCGAGCACTGGTAAGATCTCATATTAAGACTTACCTAGTGGTGATAAAAGCGGCAAAATGTAACTATTTTTCCGCTCTTATCGCATCGGCAGATAATCGCCCGGCCGCCCTGTTTAGGGTGACCCGCTCCCTCCTCCATCTGGGAGCGCGGGAGGATCCCTTGCAGAGTCGTGCTGAGGATTTTGTTCAGTATCTGCACGATAAAATCACTCAGATTCGGGAAGGCTTAGTCTCTGACTGGGTAGGTACAGACGGGATGATGGGTGCCGGTCTTGAGACTGTCATTTGGGAGGAGTTCGATCCTGTTGCTCCCGAGGACGTGGACAGGATACTCAGGCGGCTGAACACGACCACATGTTTATTGGACCCGTGTCCCTCCTGGTTGGTGCTGGCCTCCCGGGAGGTTACGCGAGGCTGGCTCCAGGGGATTATCAACGCTTCCTTGAGTGAGGGTGTCTTGCCATCCGCCTTGAAAGAGGCGGTGGTGAGGCCCCTCCTCAAGAAGCTTGCTCTGGATCCGGCTGTTTTGACTAACTATCGTCCGGTCTCCAACCTTCCCTTCTTGGCGAAGGTTGTTGAGAGTGTAGTGGTGCGACAACTTCCTGGGTACCTGGATGAAGCTGTCTATCTGGATCCGCTCCAGTCCGGCTTCAGGCCTGGGCACAGCACGGAAACGGCATTGGTCGCGTTGGTGGATGATCTCTGGAGGACTCGGGATAGGGGTTGTTCCTCTATCCTGGTCCTGTTAGATCTCTCAGCGGCTTTTGATACCATCGACCATGGTATCCTGCTGCGCCGGTTGGGGGGGTTGAGAGTGGGGGGCACCGTCTTGCGGTGGTTCTCCTCCTATCTCTCCGACCGGTCGCAGTCAGTGTTGGCAGGGGGGCAGAGGTCGACCCCGAGGCGCCTTGTTTGTGGGGTGCCTCGGGTCGGTCCTCTCGCCCCTTCTGTTCAACATTTATGTGAAGCCGCTGGGTGAGATCATCTGTGGCTTTGGGGTGGAGTTCCATCAGTACGCTGATGACACTCAGCTGTACATCTCCACCCCAGGCCATCCCAACGATGCCCTTGAAGTGATGTCCCGGTGCCTGGAGGCTGTGCGGATCTGGATAGGGAGTAACAGGCTTCGTCTCAACCCATCCAAGACCAAGTGGCTGTGGCTTCCGGCGTCCCGATATAGCCAGCTGGTGCCATCGCTGGCTATTGGGGGCGAGTTATTGGCCCCCACGGATAGGGCTCACAACTTGGGTGTCCTCCTGGATGCATGGCTGTCTTTAGAAGAGCATATGATGGCCGTGGCCAGGGGGGTTTTCATCAGGTCCGCCTGATTTGCCAGTTGCGTCCCTTTCTGGATCGGGACTCCTTACGCACAGTCACTCAGGCACTTGTCACTTCCCGCCTACTACTGCAATGCTCTCTACATGGGGCTCCCCTTGAGGAGCACCCGGAGGCTCCAACGGATGCAGAATGCGGCCGCACGGGGGATTATGGGAGCCAGGGGGCGCTCCCATGTGACACCTCTCCTGCGTGAGCTGCATTGGCTTCCAGTTGTCTTCCGGGTGCGCTTCAAGGTGTTGGTTACCACCTTTAAAGCGCTCCATGGCATAGGACCTGGGTATTTGCAGGACCGCCTTCTGCCGCCGATAGCCTCCCACCGACCAGTACGCGCCCACAGAGAGGGACTCCTCAGGGTGCCGTTAGCCAGGCAATGTCAGCTGGCGACCCCCAGGGGGAGGGCCTTCTCTGTGGCAGCTCCTGCCCTCTGGAACGATTTGCCCCCGGAGATACGAAGGATATCGGATCTCCGGGTCTTTTGCCATGCCCTGAAAACTTTTCTTTTCCATCAAGCAGGGCTGGCGTGAACCCCCTCCCCCTTTTTTAGTTTTTTTAGTTTTTTAGTTTTAAATTGTCATGGGGTTTTAAATTGAACTGTTTCAAATTGGGCCAGTTATATAATTCTTTTAACAATTTTAAATTTTGTATCTGCATATGTTTTAGCTCTGGCTGTTCACCGCCCTGAGTCCACTAGGAGAAGGGTGAAATAAATAAATTGAAATAAATAAATAAATAAATAAATAATAAATAAATAAATAAATAAATAATAAATAAAATAATAGAAAGAAAGAATGTAGAGCAAATAAAATCCTTAAATAGTTGGGTTATTCAATACGTTTAGCTTCCCATGTTTAAAAACAAATTCCAGTCATAATGTCTGGGTTCTGTGTGTAAGCTGTTCATCTGAAAAATGTTTAACAAAGGATTCTCAATTTGTATCTTATTCATATGTTGGGTATATTATTATGGCTAAATAGAAGTGTTTGAAGAAATGCCTTCATAGAAGAGTAGAAGTACTAATGAAGTTTCCAAATACTGCAAGAATTATTTATTTAAATGTTAATAGAATTAATTAATTGTATAGTAAGACAATTATAGAGTTGTCTATAATTTTTCTTATTTTTCTCCTCTGAAGGTATGTATTGTACTGGAAGAAAAGATTCACAGAACAGCCTATTGCTGACTTCTGTTGTATAATAAAAACAAACTCTGAAACAGCTTTAGGTAAGTGAGTTTTGTAATAGAAGTTTTGTAGACCTGGTGTGAAAGATCTCTGTTTTTACTAATCACCAAGTTTTTACTTTGTACTTAATTATCTTACATGCAAAAACACCTGTTTGAGGATTTATGTTCCATAAATGCTTTGATTTAGTTTGTGGCTGTGAAATACTGTAAAGTTAAAGATATAGGGATAGGACTGGGCAACCCTAAATCACATTTTATTGCGATTCCCAAAATACTTTAGGAATTGAAATGCAGCAGAAAATAGTCAAATTTGGGACCATATCTTCTCACCAATTTCTATTTGAAAATCAAATAATTAAGATGAGTTAAGTCTTTGATCAGATTTTGCACTTTAAGTTGAAAAGAAGGACCCATGGAGAAAAAGAAAATCAAAATGTTCAGAACTGAAGAAGCTTCTTGGATGAGAAGTGAAACGTCTTCAATGAAAAACAAAGAAAGTCCAGCTGTCTATTGAAAAAGCACCTTTTGAGACAACCATGACCTGGAGACTGGGAATCTCCATAGACAAACAGAATTGTAAAATGTGTGTTGTCTGAGGTAGGCAGTTGCAAATGCATAACCATCGAGCTGTACTGATCTATAATAGGGAATAGGCCAATAAACCTTGAAACTTATTTCTTGGATAGATTGGAGAAAAGTAAAAAAACTTTATGGATAGATAAACTATATCCCCCACAGCAATCTTAGTGTCTTCTTCCATATGTATATGTACCTGCTATATGTTTATGCACAGCTTTAGCCAAATCTGACTGTTATATTAAAAGGAACTATGCCATCTATGTCTTAGAGGAAATCACGAGTTATGGAACCATAGAGACAAAATTTTTAAGCAGAGAGGATTGTTTCCATAAACTGCTTGATGGTCCATAAACTGTTTGAAAGGGAACCATTGAGAAGTGCAGAGAGTGCAAATGACAAGAAATCAACCTAATTGTCCCATTGATAAGAAACTGTCAGAAGTTCAAGGTAGACCAGTCAGGAAACAGACATTGCCAGGAATATAGGAATGCTACTTCATTGTTGTAAGCTATAATAATAAAACGTTGAAGGCCTGCCAGAATTTCTCTCTGCTTCCTTTTATACCAAACATAATTATTGTGGGATTATTTGGGGTTCTCAGAGTTTTTACTTTCCCAGAACTGAGTTGTCATTTTTCTTAATAACTAATACATTCCTTCATCAAGATTATCTCCAAACATATCTTTATAGAAACTAACAATGCAAAAATGGTTTCAACATTTAGTCTTCTCTAATTTCCTGTTTGACTGGGAGATGAGATAGTGACAAATGAATGTAAATAACCAGTATGCGACAGAGGACTTTCCAAAATCTGGCTGCAGATTTCCAGTTACACGTCGCGGCGAGGTTGGCGCAGGGAAGCGTTGTTCTGTATCCCCACGCCAAATTCTCTTTGTCAGAGGGCCCCCCAGGGGCCTAAAGTCACTCTGTAGGAGTGACATATAAAGGAGGAGCTCCATAAGGATCAGCTTCTTCCCCCCTTCCAAGAAAGTACAAACTCTTCAGAACTTTGGATTTCAAAAGGAGAAAGCAAGTCAAAACACAGGCTCTGGGGACCTTCAGGGTATGTAGTTCAGGATAAAGGAAATTAGGAACCCCCTCCCCACCGTCCAATGTGGATTCTGACCAATCCACCGGTGTGAAGATGAATTGTACCAGCTTCTCTGAGAAACAGATAAGAAGAGCTTCTCAGGGTCATCTTGCAATCCACTCATTCCTCCTTCCCCTTTCATTTCCCAAGGTGTGAGAATTCTCCAGGCATTCCTGACACCAGGCAACGGTTATAAATCAGGTTAAAGTTTATACTAAGAGGACCAGGCAGGAAATAGGACACATAGGAAAAAGAACTAAATGTGACAACTCCAAATCCTCCCCCCCCCCACTTCTTCCACAAAGAATAGCAGATACACAGATCTGACAAGCTGCCTGTAGGCGGCAGAGAGTGGCAACTCTTTTGCTTGACACAGGGTTTCCTCTTTACCAAAGATGAGGACGAGGCAGCCAAAATAGCTACCATGGATATTTGACTGTTTATGGAACAATTGAATATTTGTTTTGAATCAATCTGGAAATAATTAACTGGAAGAAGAGTCTTAATGTTGAATTTTAAACGGATGGCACCCTCTATTGGTGAATGTTTACTTCTAGAATAACAAAATAACCCTGAAAAATTCTGATAAGAAAAATGTACATTTGGAGGTCTGTTGTATTATCTACTACTATATACTTTTCTAATATATAGTTATTAGAGGATTAACCTTGGAAACCTGGAGGATATCTAAGGGAATAACTTTTGAATATTGGAATTAACTAGCAATTTAAAGAGTGGACTTAAGGAATTACTTGGAAAAACCCCTGGATTGCATAAATAGAACCAACTGACTAATTGTGGGATATAAAAAATAATTTTAAAAAATATATAACTATTGTATTTCCTGATGAACAATATTAAGCAGTTTGCTGACAATGGGAAGTGAAAAAAGAAGATAACTTTTGAGCAGTGGCAATTGACTGAATATTTAGTGATATCTGGACTTTTTAAAACAAGACAAGAAGGCTCATTAGGAAGAATTGGAGGCACTCCAACAAGAAACTGTGTGGATGATCCAAAATATTTACACCACTATGATGAGAAATTCCAGGGTGATAAAAGATTTATTACACGTCATTACTGGGAAGACCAAAGATTCACAACAAGGAATAATGAATCAAGAAAATAAAATCCAGGAACCAAGGGGTATAATGGGAAGTGTAGAGAGTATAGAACAGTCTACACAATAAATAGAACAAGAAAATAAAACCCAGGAATCAAGGGGGACAATTGGAAGTTTAGAAGGTATAGAACAGGCCACACAACAAACAAAACAAGAAGAAAAGAAGGAGGAGATAACAAAGCTGGGTGATATAAAATTGGGAGAATTTATATTAAGAGTTAGAAAAATGGAATTGAGTAAACCGAAAGATATCTCTGGGGAAAAGATGGAGGGTTTGGCAAATCCAGGAGAGAATTGGCAGCAAAAAATATGGAAATGGAAACAATGGTTGGACGGAATATGAAAGATGTAGATGAGGACTTAAGGGAGGAATATGGAAGGCAGGTTGAAAAGGGAAAAAGTGTAACTCCTAAGAGGGTGAGAGATGATGGTTAGGAAGGATTCTTTTTGTTAATAATCAAGATTGGCTGTATTAAGAATTAGAATAGATAAAGAGATTAGGAATAGGGGGAATATTATTATACATATTCTTATATATACATACTTAGAGTGAAAAATAGAGGTTAAGATTAGATTTACGTTATCTGGTATGCTCAACAAAATCTTGCTGCAAATTAACAACCCTAATTCAGGATTATATATTTGACTAAACCTCTGCACTGAAAAACATGCTCTGGAGCAAATTGGCCAACTTAGTATTACAGCTCTGACTCAAAGACAGATATGGCATCTTTAACATCTGTTCTTACTCTAGACAAAGTTCCAGAATATCTAGATGTCTTGAGATGCAGTTGAAATGAAAAGAGGGTCAATACCCAAAAGATGCTTTCTTCTAGAATAGACTATTTAAATTGGCATTCCATTTTTCAGAAGTTGAATTAATGGCCTAGTGTTCTCTATACAGAGATTAATATTTTGTAAAATGTTGGCAAATTCCAAAATTGGAAACCACACATTGGAAGCCTGAACATTTGAATGTTCTACCTGCATACCTTCCATAAAAATCCAATCAACCAGATCATTTAATTGAGGAAGATCAAAGTCACATGTTTCCAAATTACCATGCAGTTTATTTTGGGATGTGTATTGAACACATTCCTGACACGAACAAGAATGTAGAGAATAGTCTTGGGAAAAAAATCAAAATGTCATCTAGATGAATGACTATATTCTTACCCAAAATATCAGAATATCTCATTCACTACATAGGTACGGCATCATCCAGCAGGCAACTCTTAGAGCAAATCCTTCCAGTGGCAACTCTTTGAGAGTGAACCGGGGTCCTGGCAGCACAGAATCATGGATTGCTTTTTGAGTGCTTTTGAGTCCATCTCCATGAAGAGATTGCTTTGTGAACGACAACCAGCTGATCCACCCATCAGCCTTTTATACATTACAAGGCCATCTGATGATGTCCTGGAAGCAGGAGCTATTTCAGAATGGCCAAAATGAATCCCAAACTGGGGCCTGCTTCAGAGGCCACATGGCCTCTGTGTAGTTTGTGGTTAGGACATTGCAACTCAATCTTGACAATCTTGAAAGCCTGACAAGCTCTCCTCTATTTCAACTTCTACCTAGCCCATCAAGGAACAGTTGTTTTGAATTCCTTTGTTTTGCTTTCTAATTTCCCAGGATTTAAATATATTTTTGGTTACAGCTTCCTCTTCTGCTCTATCTATATAGGAGATTAGGATGAGTAACCATTTCATCTTTTCATATTTGCATAATTTGAGATCTCAATGCATTGTGCCATTTAAGAAGTATCTTAGTATACTAACAAAAGTTACACTATTTGCTTTGACACTTATGTTTACTTTGTAACAGAGGATCAGGACAATTATTTTCTTTTATGTGATGCCTTACCTGAAGACAGAGAACTAAGGGAGAAACTTCAACAACAAAGACTGGTAAGATATTATTTTGTTTAAATATATTGATATTGTGCTCTCCAGATGTCTTTTAGATTCAGTTCTTGCACCATGTCAAAAAAAGTGGGTGGTAGTATCCTCTTCTGCTTTTTATTTTTCTTCCCAGATCCATAATCTTATTTTGTATCTATGACCGCATTAAAGTCTCCCAATAAATAAATATTTTCAGTTTCCAATTCCACTATTTTTTTATGTAATTTGTAATAAAATTCCTCTAATGTTCCGTCTAATGTTCGGTGCATAGATAGCCACCAATAACATTTTTTTTGTCTTATTATCTCAGTTAGTAAAATTCTACCTTCCTCATCTGCATAAATTTGTTTTGGTTGTAGTCAATCTTTAATATATAAAACTACTCCTCTCTTTGTGGTGCAAGAGCTGAATATAGTTTTCCTAATTTAGGGTCTTCTAATAGATGTCCTTGTTGCTTTTTAATATGGGTTTCTTGTAACCGTGTGATGTCTGAATTGTGTTTTTGTAATTTGGATAGAATCCGTCTCCTTTTGGTTGGGGAGTTTAAACCATTTATATAAATCAAAATTAATTTAATTTCTTCTTCCATTTTACCTTTTACTGACAGCCCTGGTTCCTTTCCTTAATCTCGTTTCTGTTTGTGTCCTTGACCTTGTCCCTGTTCTTTCCCGCTGTTCTCTTTCAATCCTCTCCTATAATTCCAATTCCGACTCCTTCCCTTCTTCCTGACTCTTATCTTCTGTCTCGTCCCCACTTTCCCTCTCTTCATCTATTGCTATACACTGATCGTAAAATTCCTGAGCCTTCTCTGATGTATCCAACCTAATTTTTTTGTCTTACCAGGTCACTAGTAAACCTTCTGGAATAAACCACCGGAACATTATTTTATATTTGATAAGTTGGGAGGAGAGGAAGTGGTAGCTCCGCCTTTGCTCCCTTACCCTCCTGGGTATTTGTTTGAGAGTCAGAATCTCGTTCCCTTTGTATGTCATCATTGTATCTCGCATTCACCTATAGATTTCATCTTTAATTGTTTTTTTAGTAAATCGTATGTGTACCTCACGTGGCAATTCATTTCGCTGTGCATAATTAGTATGCACCCTATACAATTCGTCAATACCATTTTGCAACTCACACTTACTTATCTTCAGGTTGTCCGCCAACAACTCTATCATAATATTCAGGAGGTCTTCTTCCTTGTTCTCCATTGCGCTGCTTAGAGAGTGCATTGAATGGGTTGTCCTCATGTCATTGGCCAGAGACTGAGTTAAGATTTGTTTAAACACACCTCCTTTTCCGGTGTGGCTCCAATTCATTAACTCAGTCCAGCCTTAGAGACCCTTTTAGCCTCAGCTCATTCTTTTTTTTTTAATTTTTAAACTTTTATTAATTTAAGAAACCACATAATACATTTATAAATGCAAGTAAAACAATTTACAACAAGCATCATCTTAATGACATCTACCCTATAATATCTGAATTGTTACAATATCAATATCCTATATTCTTCAGTATATATTATTTCTCTCATCTTATATAATGATATTATTTTATTGATATCTGGTGTCTCTTTCTTAAATTTTATTTGATGTAAAAATTTATTTTACTCTATTGATATCTTTTCCTTTATTTAATTTTTCTTTCTTTCTTCTTCTCTTTTTTTTCACTTACCGCTAACCATTTATACCACTTTTGCCAGACCAGATAATATTCAGATTCTTCCTTTCCTTGGATCTCCTTGGTGAGTCTATCCATCTCAGCACATTCCATAATTTTGGATATTAATTTCTCTTGAGTCGGGACCTCTTCTTGTTTCCAATTTTTTGCGTATATGATTCTTGCTGCAGTCAAAATGTGTGTTATTAAATATATTATTTCTTTTTCATATTTGCTTGTAGGTATTCCTAATAAGTAAATTTCTGGTTTTAATGGTACCTTTTGAGTTATTATTTGTTCCAGTTGCATGTTTATATTGTTCCAGAATTTTTTAGCTTTGGGACATGACCACCATATATGATAGTATGTCCCTTTATGCGCTTTACATTTCCAACAGAGTGGAGATGTACTGGGAAACATTTTAGAAATTCGTGCCGGTGGTAAATGCCACCTATAGAACAATTTATAAGCATTTTCTTTGTATGGTACAGATAATGTTAATTTATTAATACTTTTCCACAATTTTTCCCACTTACTTAATTCTATTGCATACCCAAAATTCGTCGCCCATGTAATCATATTCTCTTTAACTACTTCCTCTGCTAGTTTATATTCCAATAGAAAATTATAAATTTTGGTTATTAATTTCTCATTGGGGCCTAATAAAATTTTATCCAACTGATTTGATTCCATTTGAATTCCAGTTTTTTCCATATCGGATTTATATCTGGATTTTAATTGCAAATATGACCACCACTCTATTTCCACATTTTGCATTCTCAATTCTTCTCTTGTTTTTAGTTTTCCTTCTTCATTTAAGATGTCCTGATATGTTTTTAATTTATTTGTATCTATTGTATTTGGATAAATATGTGCTTCCATTATGGAAGTCCACCTAGGAATCTTATCATAGTGATATTTTCTGATTTCATTCCATATTTTAAGCAAATTGTCTCTTACAATGTGTCTGCGAAATTGTTCTTGTTTTATAATTTTCTCTCCCCAAAGATATGCCCTTGTCAAGTCAAAACCTTCCAATATTAATGTTCTTATGTTTTTGAGTTCGATCCAATCTTTTATCCATGTTAACGCTGAGGCTTTGTAATAACTCTGCCAATCAGGGAGTCCCATTCCCCCTCTCTCGCTTTTGTCTTGTAGATGTTTTAATTTGATTCTTGCTTTTTAATATCATTCTGTCTAAATCTTTAAAATATGTTCTTCCTGGGTTTACTGGTATCACCCTAAATAAGTATAACACTTATATTCATTTTAATGGTAGCAATTTTGCCTAAAAGAGACAATTGGAGTTTTGCCCATCTTTCCAAATCCTTTTCTATTTGTTTAGCCAGTTTAATATAATTGTCTTCCTTCAACGTTGATATTTTGTTTGTAATCCATACTCCTAAGTATTTAACTTTCTTTGCTGTTGTATCCCTAATATATTTTCCAATTCTTCTTCTTGATACCTGTTAAGGTTCTTTATTAAAATTTTAGTTTTTTGTTTATTAATTTTCAATCCCGCTACTTCTCCATATTGTTGTACTTTTATCATTAATTTTGGTCCAGATTGTATGGGTTTATCTAAGATGAGTACTATATCATCCGCAAAGGCTTGCAGTTTATATTCTTGATTTTTTATTTTTAGTCCAGTTATTTCTGTATCTTTCCTGATTTCTTCTAGTAATATTTCCAATGTTAATATAAACAATATAGGAGATAATGGTCATCCTTGTCTCACTCCTTTCTTTATATCAAATTGTTCAGTTGTATCTCCATTAATTTGTATTTTTGCTGTTTGGGTGTTGTATATCTTTTTAATCATTTTTATAAATCTTTCTCCAAATTTCATCTTTTCTAATTGTGCTATTAGAAATGTCCAGTTGAGATTATCAAACGCTTTTTGCTCATCTAGGAAAATTAGAGCTAACTGGTTTTCCGATCTTTGCTCATAGAATTCCAGAATGTCAATAATTGTTCTTGTATTGTTATGAATTTGTTTTCCAGGAATAAAACCATTTTGATCAGGATGTATATAGTATTTGATTATTGATTTTCAATCTCTGTGTTATAATTGATGTGAATAGTTTATAATCTACGTTGAGAAGAGAAATTGGTCTATAATTTTTAATTTCCGTGGGATCCGAATCTTGTTTTGGTATTAATGTGATTATTGTCTCATTCCATGACTGCGGAATTTCAGCTTCTATTATTGCATCATTGAAAACTTGTATTAATATATCATCTAATGGTTGTTGGAATGTCTTATAAAACTCTGCCGGTATACCGTCTGTTCCCGGTGTCTTGTTATTTTTTTGTTTCTTCCTCGCTTCTATTAATTCTAACATTGAGATTGGTCTGTTCAATAATTCTATATGTTCTTCTTCTAATTCTGGAATCTTTATTTTATTTAAATATTCTATGATATTTTCTTCTTTAATCTCTTCCTTTGCGTATAAGTTTTTGAAAAATTCCTTTGCAATTTGTTTTTTGTCTTCAATATTTTGGTATAAACAACCATCTACGTCTTTTAACTGTATTATAATATTCCTCTTTTTTTCTATTTTCAATTTATATGCTAACCTTCGTCCGGTTTTGTTTGCATGTTCAAATTGGTTTTGTTTAGCGATTTTTATTTTTCTTGCTATTTCTGTTGTTGTGATCAAATTTAATTTATGCCTTGTTAAATTTATTTTCTCCTTATTTTTTTGGTTATGTGGCTGTTTCTGTAGATCTAATTCATATTGATGTAATATTGTCTGTAAATTTTGTTTTATTTGTTGTTTGTTTGGCTTTTTTTGTGCAGTATAGGCAATTGTTAAGCCTCTGATATAAGCCTCAGCTCATTCTAATGGACTTTCTGACTAGCATTTTTGGAAGAATTTTAACTTTTTTTATTGTGGCTGTTTCCTTGCTGGATTCTTGCTGAACTTGCGGTAGCGGGGGGGACCTCATGTTTGGCCGAGCGCCGCTCAGCTGAGCTGCAGCTTGCCACTGGTGTCGTGGATTCCACTCTCCGGGCATCGCCATTTTCACCAATCCCTGCCAATTTCATCACCTCGCGGAGAGCGCAACCTAACAGTGAGTGGATTGGAAGTGCGAGGGAAGCCATGGTGTCACCTTGGCACTGCAGGGATCAAGAGGAGCTCCGTGTTCTCGGAGCTGAACTCTCCCTGCGTGGCCCATTGCCTTGCCATTCGCAGAGCTGTTTTGTCGGCTCCTGTCATTTCAGGCTTGTTTTCTTGCCGCGAGGGAGCTGTTCTGACGGCTCAGCGCCATTTTGTTTCACTTGCAAGGGTGCTAGATGAGCCGTGTTGTCGGCTCTAAGCCATTTTGTATCTGTTGGTGTGGAT